CACATGATGCGCAAACTCTGCAGATCCCTAAGTGTGCCGGTGTTGGTTGGCATCGGTCGCTGTGATGTTTGGGCAGAAGAAAGCTTATGAAGCTCCCAAACGATCGACCAGGAGGGAGGGAACATGCCAGTCGGGCCTGTGTCTCTGCCAGGGTCCTACTCGAGTGTAGGCCGAACTCCTGAATTTATGGTCAACCATAAACAGCTGTTTCCTGTGTGGCTTATGAAACAAGTAAAATGCAATATTAAAATAACAGAGAGTGCCTGAGGCTGTTCAGAAGAAACTAGGTAACCAGGTAAGAAAATCACTGTTATAGGTTTTGGGTGCCAGAGTTTGTGGGTGCAAGGTACTCCCTAGATTTAGCAAATGTTAGAATTTAACCAATACTTTAAAAAAGGAGCCATTCATTTAATGTGGCAGTGTAAAAATACAGGCTAAACTTGTTTTCCTGGCCAGGGAATCGCCTGGAGGCAGTAATAACCTATTAAGATTGGCCATCAGTGAAGCTAAGGCTGTGTCAGATACTGGCTGGAAGATAGCCAGTAAGACAAAAGATTAGTAGTTTCTGTTTAGGATTGCAGTTTGCCTGATGTAAGTGAACAGGGGGACAATGTCCGTTTTGAAAGCTTAGCTGGTTCATGTGAAACACAGCCTCTGTAAAGGATCTTAATATATGAGAAAGCGTTCTATCAGGTAACACTTTTATAGTTTAAATTGGGCCCGGAAAACTACTGAGAGCTGGTACCAAATCTTCAAAGGAAGCACTATGAATTGCATTCATCTGTTTCCCAGGCATGAATCACGGAGGCCAAACTAGAATTGCAACTAGTGCACCAGTATAAAATAGTTAAAGGCACAGCAGGTCAAGGAGGCATCCTGGAATAAACAAGGTGAATGTTGCTAACCCAGGCAAATGAGCCATAAACCAAAGGGTGTTCCATACTGATCTGGATTTAACTTCAGGTGCCTTGCATTTCGGCCTTTAAAACCACTCCTCTTACTGCAAAGTTCATTACCGTACTCTCCTTGAATACCCTTAACTGATGTGACACATTGTCAACAATCTGTTGCTGAGGAGGATGTCCATTGTCCCTGTTACTTTTTATTTTGGTCTTAGAAGGTTTGCTTAGAGACATTAGACAAGATGAAATAATTCTGGCGGTAAAGATTTAAAAAAAGAAACTTACAAGTTACATGCCTTTGCTGATGATTGGATGATAGTTTTGGAAAATCCACTACAGAGAGCAGACTCTTATGAATAAATTAAATTATTTTTGTACATTAGTCGGTTTTAAGATTAATCACCAGAAAATGATAATGATAATAAAGAATATGACAATGGAAGATCAAAAGCTTTTGAAGGAGAAAATAGGGTTTCAATTTGAGGAAAAAAGTAACACATTTGGGTATTATCATGACAAATGTGAATTGTATGTTGTTTCAAAATAATTATGTTAAGACATGTCCCATTGATTTTAATGTAATTTAAGCACAACTAACTTTATCTGGCTTTAGGGCCCTTAATTGTTTGCATTGTTTATACTACCCCCTCCCTTTTAAAAAAATAATATTTTATTAAAGTTTTCTTGGTTTACAAAAGTATGCGCAATGTCTCTTTTTTCAAGTGACATTTTCCATAGATCAGTTTCATTTGTTGAGACATTAGGGTTACATTAGGAAGAAATAAGGGGAGAAGAGGTGGCCATGGTGAGTGGGGGTGGGGTTGGGAGGCGATATTTCTATTTTGCTTAATGTATGTGTGGGTTTTTTGTGTCAGCGTCATTTGTGCAGGTTCTCTTTGCTATTCGCTTGTGTTCCTTTGGTGGTGAGAAAAAATGTGGTTGGCCTAGGGTGTGGTTGCTTGTTTGTGATTGGCTGTGTTGAACTTTGTTTTCGTGTGTGAGTGGGGTGAGTGTGTGTTTTTGAATCAGGTTAGCCATATTGATTCATATGCTGTTGGTGGATTCTTGTCGTTGTCTTGTTGGGCTGTGTATGTGATGAAGGGGAGCCATACCGGGGTGAAGGTATCGTCTTCTATTTGTCCCCATGACAGTTTCAGTTTATTGGTTAAATTTTCTAGTAGGGCTGTTTCTCATACTATTTGGTACCATTGGTCCATGCTTACTCTTGACAGGTCTCTCCAGTGTCTGGCTATGATGTTTCTGGTTGCTGAGAGTAGGTGGGTTATGAGTTCTTGGGAGTATATTTGTTTGAGGATTTGTAGGAAGTTGGGGCCAAACTTCATGTTAGTTAGTACTGCTAATAGGTATTTCCACTCTAAGCAATGAAAAGCTTTGAGGATGTCTAGGGACATAATTGTCAGTGGGAGTTTGGTTGCCTTGCTGTGTTCAATCAGGTTCAGTAGTTTCCTAATGGGGTCTGTTATATTGCGACCAGGGACAAAGCCAGTCTGGTCTGGGGCTATTAACTCGTGTAGGAAATTTTTTAGGCGGATTGTTTATACTTCTAGGATGTAAGAGTACAAATATATTGCCACAATAAACACTGAGCCTTATAATTACTATCATTTAATTTGTTCTAACAGTTAACCTATATAAGAAAATATAGGTTTGCTTTGATATTATTATGGTTGTATAACTTTTGGCTCAGTTGAAAGTGAAGAATAAAGGATGGGAGGTTAACTGTTAGAACAAATTAAATGATAGTAATTATAAGGCTCAGTGTTTATTGTGGCAATATATTTGTACTCTTACATCCTAGAAGTATAAACAATCCGCCTAAAAATTTTCCTAAACAAGTTAATAGGGTAATTCTGGATCTATTGCTGTTGCTTGAGGATCAGGTGGCTTCAGTGCCACACAGGGCCTTCCACCAGTTTTGGCTGGTGGCCCACCTGCACACCTGTCAAGACAAGGATAGCCTAACTTCCGTCATCTATGCTTTGGTAACCTGTAGGTTAGATTGTTGCAACGTGTTATAAGTGGAGCTGCCTCTGAAGACTGTTCAGAAACTTCAGCTGGTGCAGAATTCAGCAGCCAGGTTGCACACCGGGGCAAGACGGTTCAAGCATATACAGTCATACCTTGAATTGAAGTTGCTTCAGGTTGAGCACTTTCGGGTTGCACTCCGTGGCGACCCGGAAGTAGCGAAATGCATTACTTCCAGGTTTCGCTGCTCAGGCATGTGCAGACGGTCAAATTGACGTCACACGTATGTGCGGAAGCCGTGAATCGCCATACGCGCAGACGCGGGTTGCGTTTACTTCAGGATGCGAACAGGGCTCCAGAATGAATCCCGTTTGTATCCAAAGGTACCACTGTAATGCCAATCCTGGCCCAACTGTACTGGCTGCAGATTAGTTTCTGGGCCCAATTCAAAATGTTGGCTGTACCTATTATTGGCTCAGGACCGCAATACATGAAGGACTGTCTCTCTCCATATGAACTGACCCAGACCCTGAGATAATTGTTAAATAATTTTTTAATTAATTTTCAATTACAAAAGTCCAATATACACCATGTTTAGTCTTTTAGTCATGTCCGACTCTTAGTGACCCCATGGACCAGAGCACGCCAGGCACTCCTGTCTTCCACTGCCTCCCACAGTTTGGTCAAACTCATGCTGGTTGCTACAAGAACACTGTCCCACCATCTCGTCCTCTGTCGTCCCCTTTTCCTTGTGCCCTCCATCTTTGCCAACATCAGGGTCTTTTCCAGGGAGTCTTCTCTTCTCATGAGGTGGCCAAAGTATTGGAGCCTCAGCTTGACGATCTGTCCTTCCAGTGAGCACTCAGGGCTGATTTCCTTCAGAATGGAGAGATTTGATCTTCTTGCAGTCCATGGGACTCTCAAGAGTCTCCTCCAGCACCAGAATTCAAAAGCATCAATTCTTCGACAATCAGCCTTCTTTACGGTCCAGCTCTCACTTCCATACATCACTACTGGGAAAACCATAGCTTTAACTATATGGACCTTTGTCAGCAAGGTGATGTCTCTGCTTTTTAAGATGCTGTCTAGGTTTATTATCGCTTTTCTCCCAAGAAGCAGGCGTCTTTTAATTTCGTGACTGCCAATACCAAATAGCAATACCAATTCAAATACAAATCAATACAAGTCCAGTGTGCAGCAGCATGAGAACAGGCCTTTTCTGCAGTGGCTCCCTGTTTGTGGAATATTTTCCCCAGGAAGGTTTGGCTGGCACATTAATTATACACCTTTAGGCACCAGGTGAAAAAAAATTCTCTATAACCAGGCCTTTGGCTGATTAAACATTCTATGACCTTTTAAATGAGCTTGTCGGAGGGGGGTTATTGGGGTTTATTATTTTAAATAAAAATAATGTGGGAGGTTCCCTTCCACAGGGCACTGAGCCGAGGGGGCACAAAATTGAGAAGACACATCATTGAGAAGATCTGTTTGGGGGTGCCAAATTTTGGCATAATATGAACACCATATTATCAAAGATTACCAAACTCTGCCCCTGCTGCAAATGAGGGATATTTTAATTGGTCCAATGATAGTAGAACTAAGTAAACCAAGGACGGAATGTTAGTCAAAGTGGAAAATAATAATAATGGAGAAATCTATGGCAATAAATAAACAAACCATGGTAATTATTTTGATTTTTTTTTTTTTGGAAAATGATATTTATTAAAATTTCAAAAGAAAAAGATCACATTAATAAAAAAAAATTAACAATAAAAAGGAAAAATACAGAATACAAAGTACAAAAAAGAAAAAACAGTTAAAAACAATTCCATCTTTTCATCACTTCTTTTACATTTACTTGTTTCCCGGACCTCCTCATACCTCCCTCTTTTGTATTCTAGTTCAATTTGTTAGTCCAGCGATTCCTTTCCCTCCTTTTTAATCCTGATCTTTAATCTTGATATATTATAACATTAAATTTTTAGATATTAAAAACCAATTTTTCCATATTCTTTTATACCATTACCGCTAGAAACCGCTTAACTTCAATCCGTCATCATTCTAACATTCATTAATTTTGCAATATTTCTGTAAGTAGTCTTTAAATTTCTTCTAATCTTCTTCTTTTGATAGGCTTCCTGATGCACTGCAGCGGGGAATAGCACAGAGTTTGTGAGGGTGGGGATGCAATGTCAGCCCCAAAACAGGCCTTTTATTGAGTTCTTTCACTCCTTCTGGCAGCTGGAAGCGGAATGCCCTCAACAGGGTGGTTAGGAAGATGAATATCTCCATCTTGGCCATCTGCTCTCCCACACAGGCTCGAGCCCCTGCAGAAGAAAGAAGGGGGAAGCAGCAAGTGAGACATAACCAACTCCATGTATTCTCCAGTTCATCTGGTTTGCTCAGCTGGTAGTTTTAGCCACAACAACAACAACAAAAAGCTGGAAAACAGCTACTCCCAAAGTATCTCCCTTGAATCCTCTGGGTTGACATCCTAAGGATCCTGGCTTTGCTCCAGGAAATACTGGAAGCTGACCTTGAGTGGCTGCAGTTCCCAAAGGAAGACTAAGCTTGAAAGCAGTGTGAGCATTTGGATATGGAGCATACAGGTCATGGTTGCATCACTATATGTAGTACTTTGGGAAAACAGGTCTAACTACTGCCAGAAGGACATAAGAGAAGGAATAAATCAAAGTGCATTTAATCACACATTGCCTGTATGTGAATCTCAGAGCTGACACCTGGTGGCCAATAGTGGCAGCTACGAAGTCCAACAGTGATGGAGGTAACAGAAGCTACAACAAAAAGAAGAAATGAAGAGATGGAAAGAGAGAAAGAGGCTGGAGCAGCTGTTTGTTCTGGGCTCAGCTCCTGCAGTAGCCATGCAGAGAAAAATATTCTGTACATGGAAGTGCATGCAATTTACAGCAGAGCTACGGTTTCTACCTGATCCATTCTTTTTTCTATATTGTTTTGCCAATAAATAAAAAAACCCACAAAAAAAAACAAGCACAGGAACCAAATGCCCCAATTCTTACTGCAGCTGTGTGGCTGGTGGAGCTGAGGATTTAACCCCTTTACTTCTAAACCATTTCCCCAAACTGAATTTCTCTTCAAGAGATGACAGTTGCTCCATGGGAGGGATAGTCAATGTGGTTCCGTCTGGTTCTTGAACTATCCAGCTCTAGGCAGCATAGCCAAGAGTCATGGATGATGGGCACTGTAGTCCAACATCTGGAGGGCTATCCCTGCTCTAAGGCATAAAAAGTGTTTTGAAGGGGAATTCACATTGGAAAAGTGACATGGAAGAAAAGTGTTAAATCCCCACACTCTCAGCACTGTGACCCCACCTGATTTTTAAACCACATGTGATCCTTCCATGGCCCTCTCACTGTTTAATCAAACAACAACAACAAGATTCAATTTATATACCACCTTTTATCCTAAGATCCCAAACTGGTGTATAACATTAAGAACATAATTTATGCAGCATAATAAAAACCGCAACACACAACAAAATAATATACAGCAAAATGATAAAATAATCATAACATCAGTTCCCCTCATCCACATTTAACAGGCCATACATTATAGCGGCCAAAGGCCTGGGTAAAGAGGAATGTTTTTGTCTGGTGCCTATCCCACTCTGTGTGTGTTTGTCTAAATTTAATTATTTTTATTAATAATAATAATATTTATACACTGCACATCTGGCTGGGTTTCCCCAGCCACTCTGGGCAGCTCGCAACAGAACACTAAAAACAAAATAAAACATTAAACATTAAAAACTTCCCAATACATAGCTGCCTTCAGATGTTTGCTAAGTCAGATAGTGGTTTTTTTCATTGACATCCGATGGGAGGGCGTTCCACAGGGCGGGTGCCACTACCGAGAAGGCCCTCTGCCTGGTTCCCTGTAACCTCACTTCTCACAGTGAGGGAACCGCCAGAAGGCCCTTGGCGCTGGATCTCAGTGTCCGGGCTAAATGATAGGGGTGGAGATGCTCCTGCAGGTACACTGGCCCTCTAGTAGTCTTTAGCTAAAAACAGTGAAAAGTGGGAGCAGATTCATTACCCACAAAGCAACTAGTTAGAATGGTGCCTGCACATTTTTATTTGTTCACACACATTTGACCATCAGTTTCTTTGAAGCAAGCTACTAAATATAACTGTAAATTATTTCTGTGCATACCTGCTCCAAATGGGAGATATTCTTCTCTAGACCTGAAATTTCCATCCTTGTCCAAAAAGTGGTGTGGGTTGAACTCTTCAGGTGTTTCCCATCGTGTGGGATCAACAAGAACAGAATTCAGATCTGTAATAACAAATGTCCCCTAAAAAGAAGAAACAGTTGGCTCAGAATGCATCCGGACCAGCACACTTCAGAATGGCTTTGAAAAACTAGGAGCTGGCAGGCTGGCACACGCAGTAGATTTATGGGAAGACTGTTTCGTCATTGTCCCCAGGCAACACAGTGATATCAACCAGGACTCAGTTGAAAAAGATAATTAAACTGGATTCTGAAGTCATCATATAGTGAAGGGAAGTTATTAATCTTGATAAAGTTGGTTATGTCTTAAGTATCTGGGCTTCATCCCACATTGCTTACACAATCAGTCTCTGGCTTATAAATATCGTAACAGTTTATTAACCTTCAGGGTTTTTCCCCCTAGTTCCTCAGACTTTGCATTACACATGTGGATGCTTAATTCAAAGTGTCACCATCAGATGCTCTTTTCTCTCAAAATATACAGATGTTTCCTACCTTTGGAATGTGAAAACCACGCATCTTCATATCCTTTGCACTTCGTCTGGGAATCCCAACTAATAAGGGATATTTTGCACGCAAAATTTCATGCATCACCGCATTGGTGTAAGGCAGTTTCTTTCGATCTTCATAACATATGGGAAGGGAGGAACCAAAAACATCTTCCATCTCCTTGTAGACTTTATCTGCAGGAAAAAGTGGGAAATGAAGCTTTATTTTAAAATACCCTGGTTTAAATCTGAGAAACTTCTGACAATCAAGCTGTGTAGGGTGGGATGAAAAGACCCTGACATATTAAGTGAAGCTCATTGATATATGCTGGCAGCATCCTGAAAATAAGAAGTTAACAATTAAGTAAATGCAGGTGCATGTGGAAAAGGTCTATCGCTCTGTGGTAAAACATCTGCTTTGAATGCAGAAGGTGCCAGCTTCAATTCCCAGTATCTCCATTCAGGGATGGGAGCATGGGCATAGCCAAGGGGGGCCAGGGAGGGGGACCAGGTAGGGGCAGATGCCCCCCATAGCAATAAAAATAAAAATAAATAAATAGCTAATTGAGGTTCTGCCCCCTCCTAACAAAAGGCCTGCCCCCACTAACAAAAATCCTGGCTACGTCAATGGCTGGGAGTGTTCCTTCTCTGAAACCCTGGAGAGCTGCTGTCAGTCAGGATTGCAGCCAGGGCATGGAAGCAAAAGGGGCTAGTTGGCACAATTATATGGCTGCCCATTCCCCCCTGTCTTCTTCCTGGCCAGGAGTAGGGCAAAGTGGTTGCTTGGCCACTGTGGCGACCCACACCGTGCCCTGCTCAGCCATGCCCCAAGGCCTTCTGCTGCAGCGAATGCTTCTGTGGTGAAATCTGCAAAGCAGGCACAAGCACGTTGCAGAGGAGGAGAGCTGGCGATGACGCTCCTGAGTCGGACTGAGGGCCAACCAACCCTCCTACGGCTGCCATCTTGGGACGCCATGTAAAGAACACCAAGGAGGTGGCAGGAGCAGCAGGGGTGAAGCAGCTTGCAGCAGCTTGCAGCAAAATGGCATTTGGCCACAACTAGAGCCCACAGATACTAAAGGAGGATTGAAGGTGTCCCACAGAGTCCCCTGGGGCCTCTCCTCATTTTTTTTTACCTCAGGAATTTTACCAGCAGCCGCCTGGTAACTCTGGCCTGCCTTTTCCTCTCAGTGCCTCAGAGAAACAGGACAGGAAAGGGGAAAAGGATGGCTAACAGCCTAACAGCAGGACTGAGGCCTATCCTTAGCAGCTATCCCTCCTTTTTCCATGTAAAAAGATAAAATGGCAGTGGTGAGAGCTCTGTGCTTTCCCCATCCTGATCATAGAACTCCCCTCCTTTTCCCTTATGAGGCTCAAGAATGTAAAAAGCGCAGAGTGGCAGCTGTGAGCCCTCCGATGAAGCGGGGGGGGAGGGGGGAATACTGACAAAATTACGTTGTTGATGACAATAGCCGACATTAGAACACAGACCAAGACTTCTTTGGCTCAGGACCCCAGTACATTGGGGGCTGCCTTTCTCCATAAAACCTACTCACGCTCTAAGTTTGCCACCTGAAGCCCTTCTCTGTGTATTTCCTCTGAGAGATGTTCATTATCCAAGTGGTGACGCATTTTAGCACCTTTTTGAGCATTCTGCATAGAAGCAATAACATTATCCCAGCAGACTAATCTAGTACAGTTGACAAGTCAGCACAGAATCTCTGTTCCCATATATTCTAATAGGTAGTATTAATCTGCAGACAGCTAAATATACATATTATACACCCACATAGCTTACTTGACACACAACAAGCACCATTTTTGCCAAATCCATCTGGCTCACCTTTCCCCACTCAGGCTTCCCAAATTGATTCATTCAGTGGAAATTGGTATGACAGGTGAAGTATGGACTGGTTCAGTCAGTGATGGGTTATAAAATAAATAAATAAATGAGGAGTAGGCAGAAATACCGTCAAAGTGCTAGATGCCCAGGGGGAGACTGAACTTCTGTCTATTTGATTTTAATATACCAAGCTGTTGCAGTTGAGAATGCCTTTGATGATCGCTTCTAATGTACGGCCAAGTGTAGGAGAAACTACATTTGCATATCAAATATAGATCAAATATTTTCAGTTCAGTTCACTGAGCCTTTCCAAAACAGCCATAAAACTTTTCCTTGGAACATGTCCCACCTATTCAATTAAACTTCAAAGATAGGTTATTAGGCCTGAAGTGTTTTGTGTGGGTTTAAAAATACATATATATACATTTTAGTTGATTGTCAGATATGAATGAATATTTGTCATCCACCCATTATTAAACCTTGGAAGAATCACAACCTGCTACTAAAAAAGCAATAAATCTAAGCTCTTCCCTACAGGGATCCAGAGAGGTGCTTGCTTCCATTGCAAAGTTCTCCCTCACCTTGAACATCTGGATAAGACACCATGAGGAGCAGTGCCCATTGCAGAGTAGCAGCAGTCGTCTCTGTCCCTGCGATAAAGAGGTCAAGAACACACTCTGCCAGGTTGTCTTCATCAAAGGTAGAGTTGGGGTCATCCTTGCTCTATTGACGATAATGGAAAAAGTGAAATGTTGGAATTATTTACAGGCCACACAAAATCTATCTGACCTTGGGGTGGGGTGGGGTGTCTTCCTATTGCAACACCTAATAATATGTTTTGCCGGTGAGTGTACTGGGAGATATCTGTACAGAGTCATGGATTGGAGTAGTAATCTAAAACAGCATTACAGTGTAAAGGGTACAGGAAATGATCTTTTCTTCTGAAGACATGTACCATAAGAGGTAATAAAAAGAAAACACAGAATTACAAGGTGAACTGGGGTGATCTGGGAAAAGTTATCATGTTTCCAAATCAAATCACCCCACTAACAACGTTTCTCAAAGCAGATCGGGGACTTCCTACACTTCTGAATAGCTCTGCAGCTCAGTTGTCCGAAAACCATTCATCAACCAGTCTTCTCCTACCCCCAAAATGGAATCAAACTGATTGGGGAAGCACCCACAGCATGAGAGGTGATGGGGTGAAGGGTGGGGATGGGGGGGATCTTTCATTTTGATAGGACTTGCTTTTAAGTTCTCCCCCAAGAACATAATGTTACATGGCAGCATATAAATGGTAGATAGATAGATCTGATATGAGTTTGTGGGGTGCGAGACATCCTAAATTCCTGGGTCCAATAAAAGTTAGAATTAATCACAATTTGGGGGTTAAACTGTGCTATGCATTGAACTCCTGCCTTGTGACAGTGGGTCATTAGGGGAACAAAGCCTGGTAAAGACTGAGTTGTGAACTGAAGAAAAAGTAGAGAGATCATTAGGAGAATCACTGCCAGAAATTCAAATGGGTAAAGCCCATCCCTAGGTCCTGGTTTCAGTTAGTAAGACAAAAGGCTTCTGGTAGTTTTTAGGACGGCAGTTTGCCTGATATGTGAGGGAGGAAAATCTTGGGTAGTCAGCAAGTTATAGAGGGGGGCCAGAGTGATGTTTTGGAGCATCTTTGATTTCTGTTTGAATCCAGAACTGTATTTATGGGAGAAGCAAGGCCTTCTTAGGGTGTGAATGCTCTGAACCTCTCCAAGGCAGGCTCAGGCTGCATATATGTGTAAACCATATATCATAAAGATACCACCGTCTCCACTGTGCCACATTTTCAAAGGATACACAGACCCTGGGTAAAGTCCCAGACCCCTGGACTCTCGTACTGCTGTGGAGATTGTGGTGGCATGTAACATATCTTTTTCCATTGTTGTAGGACAGAATTATGTGTGGAATAGCCACTAATCCTCAGAAGTATGGGAGCTGGGCTTCGTAATCATGATCACATAGCACACAGAACCTTACATTTGTCCCTATTAAAATTCATTTTGTTAATTTGGGCCTAGTTTTTCAATCTGTTAAGGTCATTTTGAATTCTGATTCTGCCTTCAGAATTCATAGATAAGACCAGGAATGTGTGTCTAAATGGTGCAGCAAGATGGTTCCAGGTGTTGGACTTCTGCTAAATCCAACCGAGTTTGCTTCGTTTCATGCACTAAAGTGTCTTGAGCTATTATTGGATACTTACTTTCTCAATTTGAAGTAGATAGAAATCAATGAAATCCTGAGGCTCATCCTTTTGCTGCTTTCTATGCCTTTCTACCTCTTCCTTTGCAAATGAATGTACTAGCTCTATGGAAGAAAATGCCTTATTGTGAGGTCCTGGGAGATGTTTCATCAACCATGGGAAGAGTTCATACAGCTGCAGGGAAGAAGAAAACAAAACCTGTCACTCTCATGATTTGGTCTAGCAATACATTTTAATCTCACATTTTCTCCAAGCGGTTCAGTGTGATATATCTCCCTCGCCCACTTTATTTTCAAAACATCCCTGAGAAGTAGGTACACTTGTGTGATAGTGAGCACAGATTAAAACAACCCATTGTCCTAAGCCAAACTCTCTAAAATGGGCTGGGGAAATTTTTTTCTGCCTACCTAGGGCCACATTCCAAAATCTGATGAAGTCCAAGGCAAACATATCAATAGGTTAATCTTATTTAGTAGGCTTCTGCACCTGCTTTCTACCTCCCTTAATATTCACTACTATCCTTATTTAAGCATGTTTTTCTAGTGTGTGAGTTGAGGTTATTAGTCCAGTGCTTAGCAAGTCTGCTTTGAATACCTTCATGACATACTACTCTAAGAGTAGTACCAGAATAGTTCTGTGAATACTTATGGCGGTGAAGGCCTCTCTGACACCCATCAGGGGGGGGAAAAATTACTCACACAATGAATTATGGAACCTCCATGTTTTAAGCAAAAATCAACACCTTCCATCATTTTTTGGAACTTTTCATCTTCGAGGGAAAATCGGTACCCAAAAGCCAAAACACATATTAAATTGGAAACTGCATTTGTGATGGGCAGTGATGGATCAAGTGGCTGTCCTGAAAATAAAGTTATTTACAGATATTGATGAGGCTTGCATTAATTCACACATTTTCTTTTTCTTGAAATGCCCTTGCATGAACTCATTTTGTACGAAGCTTGTAAGCTAATTAACTCAGCTTGCTTTTACATTTTGGAAATATATTTTTTTTTTTTTGCAAAGAAACAGCTAGCCTCTTATCCAAAATGTGCTTGGGGTGCAATACTGTGCAAATTTATCTGGAAATAAGGCTAATTGAACTTACTTTTGAGTAAATGTGCATGGGACTCTGCTGGCAAGACTTGGAGGTGGTTGTTGCTGAGTCTTTGAAAGCCCTTTCTCACCACCATACCTGGAGCTTAATAGTAGCTGCTCAGTTTCCTCCTTCCCTTTAACCTTCCTCAGCTGATTCTCCCACATCTTGTTCCCCTCCCCACTAGTGATAGCACACACCAGTTCTGCTTAGACTTAAGTTTTCCCCCTAGAAACATCACCTCAACTTCCCATCTATTGTTCTCTCCCTTCCAGCTGATAGCAGCTACTGAAAGAAAAAGGGAAGCTACCAACCCCCCAATAATTCCACTGAATGTTCCACTGAATTCCACTGAATGTTAATGTTAATTAGCACTTCAATAAAACAATTCAGAGCTGACAAGGAGCTGAGTTGTAGAATTAATGGATGTTTGAAAATTTTGTCATTTGGTTTGCTATTTTTTGTCTGCTGCAAAAAAATTCTGCACTGCTAAATATTGCTGATCACCTTGCAAACATTCATAAACATGCAGAGCTTGGTATCAAGCTTGATTCTTACAAAATCCATCACTATTATCCAGTGTCATTATCCAGCATCACATACCCTTTGCCTGCGCAAAGATCTTCACAAGCTCAGTGGCCTCCTCTTCTATTTGGTGCTCCATGCCTTTCTTCCCCAGCCCCAGCTTCCGCATAGTAATCACACCGAAACGTCTGTGCTGCTTCCAGATGTGACCATTTGAAAATACCATGCCTAAGACAATCAAGAATCAATGAGAAAATATTACAGTGTTACAAAGAAGTGTTTTGTCTGGCATTGCCCTCTGATGTCCCCCTAACCCCTGCCGGCTGCCTAGCAGGAACTGGAGGGCTGCTCACTGACAGGGCTGAGCAGAACTCTGGGCCTCCTGTTTGTACTGACAAGTACTGCTACATATGTCATTGACATCTGACCTACCCCTGATGTATGCTCATTGGGGACAGGTCCAGCAACACTAAGGTGAGGCCAGCAACTAAACATGCTATATGTGGGCTGGGAGTTCCACTTGGTACTGCAACAAGATGGCCGGAGTATCAATAATAAATTCATCATCATCATTATTATTATTATTATTATTATTATTATTATATGCTGAGATGCAGCCTTACAGCTGTCCAGATACAGCACTCAGTGGGTGGGGCACCCATCTTGACAAGAAAGCTCTACCAGTTGCTCAAAGGCTTCTCTGAAGCAATTTGTATAGTCTACATGTATTTTATGTATTTTATGTTTTAATGTACCGTATTTTTCGCACTATAGGACGCACTTTTTCCCCTCCAAAAATGAAGGGGAAACGTGTGTGCGTCCTATGGTGCGAATGCAGGCTTTCACTGAAGCCTGGAGAGCGAGAGGGGTCGGTGCGCACCGACCCTCTCGCTCTCCAGGCTTCAGGAGAGCCCCAGCGCCAGCCCCACAAGGTCGGGGGACAGAGGGAGGCGGAACGCCGCCATCCCGCTGTCTCCCGAAGTGGTTTGGAGGCTGACGGCGGGGAGACCCTGCCGCCGGCCCCGCAAGCTCCGGGTCAGCTGGGAGACGCAGCGCGTCTTCCTGCTGTCCCCGGACCTGATCTGAAGGCGGGCGGCGGGGAGAAGAGCGCTTCTCCCCGCTGCCTGCCCCCAAGCTCCGGGGACAGCAGGGAGACGCAGCGCGTCTTCCCGCTGTCCCCGGACCTGATGTGAAGGCGGGCGGCGGGGAGAGATCGCTTCTCCCGCTGCCTGCCCCCAAGCTCCGGGGACAGCAGGGAGGCGCAGCGCGTCTTCCCGCTGTCCCCGGACCTGATCTGAAGGCGGGCGGCGGGAGAAGAGCGCTTCTCCCCGCTGCCTGCCCCCAAGCTCCGGGGACAGCTGGGAGGCGCAGCGCGTCTTCCCGCTGTCCCGGACCTGATGTGAAGGCGGGCGGCGGGGAGAAGGCGCTTCTCCCGCTGCCTGCCCCCAAGCTCCGGGGACAGCAGGGAGGCGCAGCGCGTCTTCCCGCTGTCCCCGGACCTGATGTGAAGGCGGGCGGCGGGGAAGAGCGCTTCTCCCCGCTGCCTGCCCCAAGCTCCGGGGACAGCAGGGAGACGCAGCGCGTCTTCCCGCTGTCCCCGGACCTGATGTGAGGCGGGCGGCGGGGAGAAGAGCGCTTCTCCCGCTGCCTGCCCCCCAGCTCCGGGCACAGCAGGGACCCGCCGCGCGTCTTCCCGCTGTCCCCGGACTTGATATCAAGGCGGGCGGCGGGGAGAGCAGCGCTTCTCCCCGCTGCCTGCCCCCAAGCTCCGGGGACAGCAGGGAGACGCAGCGCGTCTTCCCGCTGTCCCCGGACCTGATATCAAGGCGGGCGGCGGGGAGAAGAGCGCTTCTACCCGCTGCCTGCCCCCAAGCTCCGGGGACAGCTGGGAGGCGCAGCGCGTCTTCCCGCTGTCCCCGGACCTGTTGTTATGGCGGGCGGGGGGGAGAGCAGCGCTTCTCCCCGCTGCCGGCCCCAAAGCTCCGGGGACAGCAGGGAGACGCTGCGCGTCTTCCCGCTGTCCCCGGACTTGATATCTAGGCGGGCGGCGGGGTGAGCAGCGCTTCTCCCCGCTGCCTGCCCCAAGCTCCGGGGACAGCAGGGAGGCGCAGCGCGTCTCCCGCTGTCCCGGACCTGATCTCAAGGCGGGTGGCAGGGAGAAGAGCGCTTCTCCCCGCTGCCTGCCCCCAAGCTCCGGGGACAGCTGGGAGACGCAGCGCGTCTTCCCGCTGTCCCCGGACCTGATCTGAAGGCGGACTGCGGGGAGAAGAGCGCTTCTCCCCGCTGCCGGCCCCACAAGCGCCTGGGGGGGAAATAATTTGTTTTCCTTTATTTCCCCCCCAAAAAACTTGATGCGTCCTATGGACCGGTGCGTCGTATGGTGCGAAAAATACGGTATTTTTAATCTTTTGCTGGAAGCCACCCAGAGTGGCTGGGGAAATCCAGCCAGTTGGGTGGGGTAGAAACAACAACAACAACAACAACATATTATTATTATTATTATTATTATTATTATTATTATTATTATTAAACGTGGCCCTGCATCTGCACCTTAGTTCTCTTGGCCTGCCATCCAAGACCCTGGGCCTACTAACTCCAGTTTGCTTGGGCCACTGCCTTCACTTATTCATGGACATCACAGAATCAGAGTTGTAGAGTTGGAAGGGATCCTGAGGATCGTCTAGTCCAGCCCCTTGCAATGCAGGAATATGCAGCTGTCCCATGCAGGATCGAACTTGCAACCTTGGCAATTTTCTAGGGGAAAAAAACACTGGCTGTATCCAGTTTCTCAGAGCAGACCCATTAAAATTAATTGACCCAAGTTCATCACACCCATTTATTTCAGTGGGTCTACTCTGAGTATGCCTAATATTGACTAAAACCTTATATGTTCCAGAGAGAGAGAGAGAGCCCTCAGTGGGATGACCTGTGCACATCTTGTGCCTCTGTTCTAAATTAGCAGCCCATGCCATGGCCACTGAAGGCAACAGGTGTTTCTCCAGCAACATGTTTTCAAGCTGGATTTGAGCTATCATCCACAGATTCTATCCAAAAGTATCAGGAGCCACATGTTTTAGGAGCACATGGATGTCACTCAGCTCAAGACTCCTAGCTGCACCTTTCGGCTGACATTTTGAGGCAACTTGGCCCAAACGTCATCAGTTTTCTTTGATGGCTTGCCAAGTTGGCAAACAGGCAGATCAACACTGTTCACGATGTATGCAGATTTTACTATAGGGCTTTGCCAGGTTCAATAACTCAGTGTTCCACAGGCATTTCCCAAAGGATAACTTAAGTTACAAGTCCCACACTACCTTCGTTTATCCTCCTTACAACCACCTTCTCTGGATTCTTTTAGATTTCCCCCCAGATTCATTTACATTCAATTACTCTGCTCCTTATCAGTCACTTCTTCCTTCCTTCCAAGCAAGCAAAACTTCCTCTCTGAGCACCTCCTGATAATCTGTGTCTTCCACATTTGCATCACTTTTGTAGACTTCTGGCTTTTATGTAAGAGACTATATAAACTAAGGATGATGTGGTAATCTCAGTGCCTAAAGACATCGCTGACAAATGTGGTGCAATGGCTACTTTCAAGAGCTCATGTGCTGGAGAAAACTCCAGATGATGGAAGCATGCAGAGCATTACAGTATTCTCTTTTGCTTGGTGATTTCTCTGGAGAAAAGGTCTTCCAAACCCATCACTCTTCACAAAAACTTACCCTTCTTTTTAAGTGCAGTTTTCAGGAATGGGGTTACTGGTCGGTCGAACAGGTCATCGAAATGGTTTGTAAGGCCTTCTTTCACTGCTTGGTATCCAGATAGTACTACTGCTGGTACATATGCTCCCCATATACAGTACACATTTCCATATTGCTTTGCTATCTGCCATTTGGATCAAAAGAGAAATATCACAGTCAAACCAAGCATATCAATTCAAGTTAATGCATTGACTACAGCCTTCCTCACCACTCCAGCTTCTGGCTGTGTGCAGCTTTCCTCTACTTTTCTGTTCCTGTCAGATTCCTATTGCTTGCCTTATCACCTTCCCTTCGTTCTTCTGGGCCATTCCATCTTCCAAACACCCATTTGAAGCAAACACCCCCTTCCTGTCCCTGCCTGCCTTGCTCTTGCATAGAATTAGAACAGTACAGGCGTGGGGGGGGGGATATTGACAAGGTTCTTCACAATCAGAAAAACAGTGCATTAAGTGACAAACAGTCCACTAGTGAAATTGGGAGTTTAGCTAGGAGATGGTTAACGGGACCAGAATGATCGCAAATGTTCCTTGATAGGCAGAGCTGCCCCACACACCCTTTGTTTGGGGGGGAAACTGTATTTACTCGAATCTAATGCTCACCCTTTTGGGCCAAATTACCGTTGCGAAAATTAAGGTGCACATTAGATTCGATGGCACATTAGACTTGAGTAAATACAGTAAGTTAATAGTTTAAGAAAGCTATGAGATTATTGGGGAAAATGTCTTGTCCTGATTACCATCCACTAGCCTGTGGAAAAGGGGTAAGTTATTGGGAGTGTAGAACAGTAGACAGCATTTTCTAGGTCACCCCACCCCCTACATTTAAAACACATGAGTTCCCCCAAAGAATCCCAGGAACTCTCCACATAGCTCTTGTTATGAGAAATGATTTCTTGTATTAATAAAGCTGCACACCATTGTGATATTTCAGAAAAACAGGTATCTCAATACTACTTCTCAATACTGATTCTATGTAATCTTCTTTGAAAAAGTATCAAATGTATCATCGTTTCAATATATAAGTTTCTCCTATAAGTATGTTTTGTTTCAGTATATAAGTATATGTTTCTTCTATAAGCGTATCTTTCTGTATAAATGTAGTGTTACGTAATGTTAAGGTTATGAAAATGTTCCTGGTACTGTCAATGTAAGTGCAACAGCATCGGTTGGTCTGTGCTAAAACACCACTACATTATCACTTACTGGGTCTACTATGCTATGGAAACTGATCACAAAATCACACAAAACACAAAAATTATTCCACAATGGTTCATTCATGAGCCTGCAATCCCATTCATACAAATGTTAACATGCTAGTGTAGAGTCAATGTCCAAAGCTAACACCTGTCTTCTTCCTGTGGGCATCAACCACAGCTATAATTTCCAGCACCCTCATAGAATCATAGAGTTGGAAGAGACCACAAGGGCCATCGAGTCCAACCCCCTGCCAAGCAGGAAACACCATCAGAGCACTCCTGACATATGGTTGTCAAGCCTCTGCTTAAAGACCTCCAAAGAAGGAGACTCCACCACACTCCTTGGCAGCAAATTCCACTGTCGAACAGCTCTTACTGTCAGGAAGTTCTTCCTAATGTTTAGGTGGAATCTTCTTTCTTGTAGTTTGGATCCATTGCTCCGTGTCCGCTTCTCTGGAGCAGCAGAAAACAACCTTTCTCCCTCCTCTATGTGACATCCTTTTATATATTTGAACATGGCTATCATATCCCCTTAACCTCCTCTTCTCCAGGCTAAACATGCCCAGCTCCCTTAGCCGTTCCTCATAAGGCATCGTTTCCAGGCCTTTGACCATTTTGGTTGCCCTCCTCTGGACACATTCCAGTTTGTCAGTGTCCTTCTTGAACTGTGGTGCCCAGAACTGGACACAGTACTCCAGCTAAGGTCTGACCAGAGCAGAATACAGTGGCACTATTACTTCCCTTGATCTAGATGCTATACTCCTATTGATGCAGCCCAGAATTGCATTGGCTTTTTAGCTGCCGCGTCACACTGTTGGCTCATGTCAAGTTTGTGGTCAACCAAGACTCCTAGATCCTTTTCACATGTACTGCTCTCAAGCCAGGTGTCCCCCATCTTGTATTTGTGCCTCTCATTTTTTTTGCCCAAGTGCAATACTTTACATTTCTCCCTGTTCAAATTCATCTTGTTTGTTTTGGCCCAGTTCTCTAATCTGTCAAGGCCGTTTTGAAGTGTGATCCTGTCCTCTGGGGTGTTAGCCACCCCTCCCAGTTTGGTGTCATCTGCAAAATTGATCAGGATGCCCTTGAGTCCATCATCCAAGTCGTTGATAAAGATGTTGAATAAGACCGGGCCCAAGACAGAACCCTGTGGCACCCCACTAGTCACCCTCAAAAGTTCCCAGGATTCTTTGGGAGGAAGGATTATTTAGTGTGGGTGTGACCAAAGGCACAGGAAGAGAGCAGACATTGCACTCTGTAAGCTAACAACATTTAGATGGAAATCTGGCATGGGATCAGTGGATTTGACTGTTTTCACCTATGCATATATTACAAAATGACATAAGTCTCTGGCGTAAAGAAACTGGATCCTGATAAGCGGTGTACCCCTGGGAATCCTCATTGTTGGGAGAAGTGGAGCGAGCATAACACAGTAGCAGAGAAAGGTGGGGGCGGTGCCGTCCCTAGGGGGGTGACCTCGCCACGGGCGGCACCACCCGGGACACTCCCGCCACTGGTGCAACCCCCGGGTCTAAGACGGACATGAACTTTGTGTATCTGCACTGTAAATAGTTTGCATGATAAACCCATAAAAGACAGACTGGAGTCCTGCCTGGTTACTCATGAGCAACCACCACACAGCATCTGACAGATAGAAATAAAAAGTAATCATATAAAATACATTTTAGGGTTTTGAATCAATAATCAAATAGTGGATCTTATTCTGATTGCCCCAGCTAAAAACCTTGCAACCTTTGCTGTCACCTGCTCATCTTGATCTGCCAAAAGAAAGGACACTGTGGCAGTGGTTGGGTGACCCGGAATGGACAATAAAAGAGGGGTGATAATCTCATTCCTCAAGTCTTTATAAAGAGTGCAAGCCAGAAGGGCATGCAAGAGCCTTGAATCTACTCCAGTCACATCCAACTCCCAAGGGACCACTCCCAGTATAAAAAAAACTGGCAGTGATCTACCCATTGTTATTGGAGGGAGGAGGAGCATGTATGGGGTGGGTGGGTGGAAGGTGGTGGCTAACTGGAAGCGGGGGGTGGGGGTAGAATTGCCCAAAGTCGTTGAACTATTTTTAGGGAGAATTGCCAAAAGCTGTTGAACATTTTTTTTAGGGGAGAGGGCTACATCATGATGCATAATGAAACACTAAGACAGGAGGCATTCATTGGGATATCAGCCGGAGGTGGAGGAAAATACCAACGGGGCGGGGGGCGCAGATCGACCGTGATTGATAAGGAACTACCCAACGATCTGCATATTAATTGCAGTCGACCGGTTTTACATGTCTGATCTGCTCTAACATTTGCTCAGCACAGGATCTGCAATGCAGGCTACAACTACTACCAGGGCTTCCCACACACCAGTTCACAGGAGCTGAATTCCGACACCTCTAAGGTGGGCACCATTGCCATTCTAAAAGAACACAGGAAAAGCTCACGGAGAGCTCCTTTTTTTCTAGAAAAATAGCACTTACTACAGTATGCCTAGCATAAGACCACAAAGCTCGCTACCTCCCAAGGAAGTCAGTCCTATTACTCAACAGCTCTTACAATTCTGAAGTTTCTCTTAAGCCTTTTGTCACAATCTACTTTCTTGCCATTTCTATTCATCTGTTCTAATCCTTCCCTCTTGAGCAACAGAGAACAAGTCTGCTCCATCTTCTGGATAATAGCCATTCAGTTATTTGAAGACATTTGTCATGTCACACCCTTAATCTTCTCTTCTCCAGGCTAAACTTTCCCGACACTTTCAACCATCCCTCAAAGGATTTGGTTTTGAAATTACTTTTGGTGGAGAAGTCAACAAGAAGGAGAGAATATTGGGTGGAATCGTTAGCAAGCCAAAATCCTTGGATTGATTAATGTAGACACAAGGTTTTGCCAACAAAACACTTTTATCCCCAGTTCCATAGGAAGAAAATAATTTGCCGTTCTTCTTGCTAAGCTTCTTACCCGGCTGATTAATTATTAGGAAAAGGTACCTGAATGAGCGTTTCTTGAGTAGTCATGATCCCGAGCCGCCAGAGGCCACCAATGATAGGAAGTGAAAGAGGACCAGGAGGGTAGTGTCTTCGTGACCAGACCTGTTTCAGGAAGTGCAGAATCAGAAGACTCACGGACAGAACAATAAAAAGTTCCCAGATGCCTGCCATTTCTTTGCTTCTTCTTTCTGTCTTTGTATCCTCCTCGTACAGCTGTCAGTTAACTGTGATTTCTCCTGTGGTTTGTTGCTTCTTTTTGAGACGGCTGCCAAATGCGGCTGCTTCTCCATCAACAGCATGCTATATACTCCCCAGCCAAAGATGCAAGCGACAAGATTTCATTGCAGCATCTTCAATTAGTGATAGTTTGCTATCAAGATAGTTAAGCCTGATAACAAATAGTTGAAAAGCCTGTTTGGTCAAAGTAATACTGCACACCAGTTACCCAGCAGGCATAAACATGCCAAGCCAATGCCCTACCCTTACCCAGCCCAGAACTACAAGGCGGGGGGAGCAACTTCCATACCAACGCTGCCAGTGCCTCCTTGTAGCAATGACACCCTCATTTGCACTCAGACATGGAGAGAACCAGTGCACTGGCATCAAGGCTCCCCTGCCTGGACTATCTCCCTGTCCCACCCCATACACAATAGTCCCACAGCACCTCCCATTCCAGGAACTCCTCACCACCACAGCTTGGGGCTTTCCCAACATCGAGTCTGAGACAAACCTCACCCTAGACTGGGATCCTCCCGACTCTGTTTCATTTGCTCCAGGGACTCAAGGGCAGTCCAGCCGCTTTGTTGTTGCCTCTTCAACAAAGAGTTAAAAAGAAGTAAAAACTCATGTCAGCTTTTACATGTCTGAGTAGGCTTACATGTCTGGATAGGTTCGTCTTTTGACAAACAGGAAATTCATCTGAGCCTTATATGCACATTGACTATAATTGTCGTTGTCAGTTTGTGGGGTTTAGTCTGCATAATGCCTGAGTACCTTCTAATCCCTGTGGTCCTGGATCCAGCAAAGGTTAAAATCTATTGGAGGATTCCATTGTTGAATTGTCCAGGCAAGTTCCTTTGTGAGAGAATGGTCATAGTTACCACCAAGTGTGGTTGTTAGTCTGTCAAAGGAAGCTGCTCTGAGCCAGAGGGCAAATGAATGGGCCCCTCCCTCACATGGCTGGTAGTAAGAAAGATGAAAGCCACAGCTTAGTTGTGTGAGCTGGGCTAGAAGCAGGCAGAGTGAGAGCAATAGAATCATAGAATTGTAGAGCTGGAAAGGACCCCCCTGTAATGCAGAATCTCAAACAAAGCATCCGTGACAGATGACCATCTAACTTCTGCTTTAAAATCCAAGGAAGCAGAGTCTACCACCTTCTGAGGAAGACTTTTCTACTGTCAAACAGCTCTTGGCACCAGAAAATTCTTCCTTTTAAAAATTATTATTATTATTATTATTATTATTATTATTATTAATTTATTGAATTTATATACCGCCCTATACCTGGAGGTCTTGGCAGTTCACAGAACAAAAGCAAAATATAAAAGCAAAATATATATAATCAAAATAAAAACAACCACCCACTAACACCCCCCCCTCAAAAAAAGAAAAGAAAAAAGAACCACATTACCACATTTTAAAAGGGCATAGGATGTCAATCAAATCAACCAAAAGCCTGGTTAAAAAGGAATGTTTTTGTCTGGCACCTAAACCTGTATAATGAAGGCGCCAGGCGAATTTCCCTGGGGAGAGCATTCCGCAGATGGGGAGCCACTGCAGAAAAGACCCATTCTCGTGTTGCCACCTTCGAGACCTCTTGAGGAGGAGGCACACGAAGAAGGGGCTCAAAAAGGTGATCTCAGGGTCCGGGTAGAGTCATATGGAAAAAGGAGGTACTTGAGGTATTGCGGTCCTGAGCCATTTAAGGCTTCATGGGTCAAAACTGGGCCCAGAAACTAATTTGTAGCCAGTGCAGTTGGACCAGGATTGGTGTAATATGCTCAAACTGTCTTGCTCCGGTGAGCAACCTGGCTGCTGAATTCTGTACTAGCTGAAGTTTCCGTACTGTCTTCAGATGCAGCTCTATGTATAACACATTGTAGTAATCTAACCTTGAGGTTACAAGAGCATAGGCAACAGTAGTTAGGCTATCCTTGTCCAGACAGGGGTGTAGCTGGGCCACTAGCTGAAGCTGATGGAAAGCACTCCGGGCCACTGAGGCCACCTGAGCCTTGTCCATCACTTCCACTGCCTCATCTACATTTGTAAAGGAGAAATAGAGCTGAGTGTCATCAGCATACTGCTGACAATGTACTCCAAACCTCAGATTAACTCCACCCAGCAGTTTCATGTAGATGTTAAACAACATGGGGGGTAGGTTTGAGCCCTGCAGAACCCCACACTGAAGGTCCCATGGGACTAAAAAGCATTCCCCAAGTAACACCCTCTGGGAATGACCAACCAAGTAGGACTGGAACCACCGTAAAGCAGTGCCACCCACCCCTAGTTCAGAGAGTCAGTCCAGAAGTATACCATGATTGATGGTTTCAAAACCCGCTGAGAGATCGAGAAGAATTAACAAGGACATGTTTCCCTTCTCTCTCTCAACAGAGGTCATCATACAGGGCAATCAAAGCAGTTTCTGTGCCAAAACTAGGCCTAAACCCCGATTGAAATGGATCCAGAAAATCAGTTTCTTCCAAAAGCGCCTGGATCTGGTCTGCAACCACTTGCTCCAGAACCTTGCTCAGGAAAGGGAGATTAGCAACTGGCCAGTAGTTAGTTAGGTTTTCTGAATCCAGGGAAAGTTTCTTAAGGAGTGGTTTTACCACTGCCTCCTTCAAACAGGCAGGGACCACCCCCTCTTGTAAAGATGTATGAATGATATATGAAGATTTAAATACCCTACTAGAAAGGAATTCACACATTTCTCTGAACCTAATAATTCAGTGGGACAAATAGATGCCATTTGGACCTTGAAAGAGCTATTAATAAATGTAAATAAGGTGGAAATCTAGCCAAGAACAATCTCAGACCATAACCCGATATGAGTATGGATGAAAGGAGCGGAGAGAAGAGTGAGCAGATGGAGACTGAATGAGAGTTTGCTAAATGATGAAACTGTCCTTCAAAAAGCAAGGGTAGCATTAAAAGAATTTTTTGAATATAACTTGAACCAAGGAAGAGACGTTAAAACTGTATGGGACGCAAGCAAGCCTGTGCTAAGAGGATTCTTCATACAGCAGAACGCTCATGAAAAGAAAATTAAAGAGAGAAAAAATGGAGATATGGGAAGAAATTGGAAGAAATGAGAAAGAACTATTTAGCAACCCGGACAACGAACAAATTAAACAAAACATAAACTATTACAGACACAATTTTCGATGACCATTAATCAAGAAATAAAATGGAAAATTAAGTGGCTAAGGCACAGGAGTTTTGAGTTTGCCAACAAACCTGGAAAATTATTAGCCTGACAACTTAAAAACTTGTACTCAGGCTCCCCCTGGACCAAAACTGGCTGCGGTTGGGGACGGTTCGGGTGGAACTCGTCAGGCGGGGCCACCGGACTCAGAAGGGACCTGTGGAATACTGGGTGAACCTTCAGGGTTGTGGGTAACCGGAGACGGAATGCCACAGGTAAGACCTGGTCCATGATGGGAAACGGGCCGGTGAAACGGGCATCCAGCTTCTGCGAAGGTCGAGAGGGGTGGAGGTGGCGAGTGGAGAGCCAGACCAGGTCACCGACGTGGAGTTCCGGCCCCACCTGGCAGTGGCGGTCAGCCTGGGCCTTGAACGCCTACTTGGCCTGGCGTAGCTGCTCCATCAATAGCTGTTGCTGGGACTGGAGCTCCTGAAGCCACTCCGTCACCGCAGGGACCGCGGATGCTGGCAGCACATCTGGGAACAGCCGCGGATGATAACCGTAACTGGCCTGGAACGGGTCTGCTGGGTTGACGCGTTCACCGCGTTGTTGTAGGCGAACTCCGCCAATGCTAGGTGGTCGACCCAGTCATCCTGCTGGTAGCTGCAGTAACACCGGAGGTACTGCTCCAGCACCGCGTTCGCCCGTTCCGTCTGGCCATCGGTCTGTGGGTGGTAGGCTGATGATAGACAGACCTCTGTCCCGAGGGTCTGGTGCAATGCTCGCCAGAAACGGGATGTGAACTGAACGCCCCGGTCGGACACCACACGCTCAGGTAGGCCATGCAGGCGGAAGACATGCTGAAGGTAAAGCTGAGCAGTTTCCTTAGCTGTGGGTACGGATGGGCAGGGGGCACAGTGCACCATCTTAGTGAAATGGTCGGAGAAAACTAGGAGGCAGGTACAGCCACGAGACGGGGGTAAGTCCACTACAAAGTCCAGTGAAACCATGTGCCAAGGACGTGGTGGGACTGGCAACGGCTGAAGTAGGCCGGGGCGTCACCCGGTAGGGCCCTTGGCCCCCCGGCAGACGTCACAACCAGCAACGTAGTGGGCCACGTCAGCCTTCAGGCGGGCCACCAAAACTCGCGGCTTACCAGATACCACCAAAGTGTCCCGCTGCTGGGGCATCATGGGTCATCCGGAGAACCTCAGCCCGCAGTGGCCCTGGCGGGACGTACAGGCGACCGTGGTGCAGCAGAAGGCCCTGATGTAAGACCAGCCCCGGATACTGAGGGCATGACCCTTCGGCCAGTTCCCGGAGTCGTTCCTGGGCCCAAGCGCTGACCCGCTGCTGTTCCCGCACCCGAGCCTGCAGTGGCTCAGCCTCCTGAGTGGCCAGGAACGCAGCCGGTGGTAGGATCGTGGTTGGTACTGCTTGCTGTACTGTGTCTGCGATGTCTTCAGGTTTCCGGGACAGGGCATCCGCCTTCTGGTTTTGAGAGCTGGAACGGGGAAAAGAACAACGCCCACCAGATCTGCCTTTGGTTCAGCTTGCGGGTGCTCTGGTGGTACTCCAGCTTCCGGTGGTCGGTTCTCACCTCCATTGGGTGTCGTGCCCCCTCAAGATGGTGGCGCCAGACCTCAAAGGCCACTTTGATGGCCAGTAGTTCCCGCTCCCACACGGTATAGTTACACTCCGCTGGAAGGAGCTGGCGGGAATAGAAGACGCAGGGTAAGAGTAGTGCATCAGGCCCGTGCTGCTGAGACAAGACGGCACCAAGAGCCATGCTGGAGGCGTCGGTCTC